TACCAGTTGCTAGGACTGATTGTTTCCATTAACTTTGGTTTTCTTCTTTCTTCTTCATGAGGAGAGACCCATCGTTGCATCTAGATGGCAGCTTGCTAGCTTTTAAGATTCCAGTCGCTACTCCCAGCTGCAATTCTTCAATGACAGATTTGTTTGTACATCTGGCAGCCCATAGTATTTTCAGTATTCTTCACCAACACCATAATTCAAAAGCATCAACTGTCCTTCAGTCTTCCTTACTCATTGTCCAGCTTTCACACACATATGAGGCTACTGAAAACACCATGGCTTGGGTTAGGTGCACCTTCATCTTCAAAATGACATCTTTGCTCTTCACTACTTTAAAGCGGTCTTTTGTAGCAGATTTGCCCAGTGCAATATGGTGTCTGATTTCCTAACCACTGCTTCCATGGCTGTTGACCGTGGATCCAAGTAAGATGAAATGCCAGACAACTTCAATCTTTTTTCTTTTTATTGTGATGTTGGTTATTGGTCAACTTGTGGGGATTTTCATCTTATTGATGTTGAAGGGTAATCCATATTGAAGGCTGTAGTCTTGGATCTTCATCAGTAAGTACTTCATGTCATCTTTACTTTCAGCAAGCAAGGCTGTGTCATCTGCATACTGAAGGCTGTTAATGAGTCTTCCTCTAATCCTGATGCTGCATGCTTCTTTGCACAGTTCAACTTCTTGGACTGTGTATTCAGCATACAGACTGAATAAGTATGGTGAAAGGATACAACCCTGATGCACACCCTTCCTGATTTTAAACCATGCTGTATCCCCTTGCTCTGTTCAAATGACAGCTTCTTGGTCAATTTATAGATTCCTCATGAGCATAATCAAGTGTTCTGGAATTCCCATTTTCTCCCAATGTTATCTCCATAATTTGTTATGATCCACACAGTTGGATGCCTTTGCATAGTCAATAAAACACAGGTAAACATTTTTCTGGCATTCCTTGCTTTTGGCCAAGATCCATTTGACATCAGCAGTGATATCCCTCATTCCAAATCCTCTTCTGAATCTCGCTTGAATTTCTGGAAATTCCCTGTCAATATACTGCTGCAACCATTCTTGAATTACCTTCAGCAAAATTTTACTTGCATGTGGTATTAATGATATTCTTCAGTAACTCCCACATTCTGTTTGATCACCTTTTTTTGGAATGGGCACATAAATAAATCTCTTCCACTCAGTTGGCCAGGTAGCTGTCTTCCAAATTTCCTGGCATACATAAGTAAGCACCTCAAGCACTCCCTCCATTTGGTGAAACACCTCAATGAGTATTCCATCAATTCTTGGAACCTTGTTATCTGCCAATTACTTCAATGCAGCTTTGACGTCTTCTTTACCATTGGTTCCTGATCATATGCTACCTCCTGAAATAGATGAACATCAACCAATTCTTTTTTGTTAAGTGACTGTGTGTATTCCTTCCATCTTCTTTTGATGTCTTCTGCATCATTCAATATTTTGCCCATAGAATGTGTCCATATTGCAACTTAAGGTTTAATTTTTTTCTTCTGTTCTTTTGGCTTGAGAAATTCTTTTGATTTCCTAACTCCAGGTCTCTGCACATTTTGTTATCATACTTTACCTTCTCGAACTGCTCTTTGAAATTTTCTGTTTAGCTATTTAATCTCACTTCTTCCATTTGATTTAGCTATTCCATGTTCAACAGCAAACTTAAAGAGTCTCTTCTGACATCCATTTTGGTCTTTCTTCCCTTCCTGTCTTTTTAATGACTGTTTGCTTCTTTATGTATGATGTTCTTGATGTTGTTCCACAACTCATCTGGTTTCCAGTCACTGGTGTTCAATACATTAAATCTATTCTTCAGATGGTCTCTAAATTCAGTGGGATATAATCAAGGTCATATTTTGGTTCTTGTGGCCTTGTTTTAATTTTTTTCACCTTCAACTTGAACTTGCATATGAGCAATTGATGGTCTGTTCTACAGTCAGTTTCTGGTCTTATTTTAACTGAAAATACTGGGCTCCTTCATTGCCTCTTTCCACAGATGTAGTTCATCCGATTCCTGTGTATTCTATCTGGCAAGGTCCATGTGTATGGCTGCTATTTACATTGTTGAAGAAAAGTATTTGCAATGAATAAGTTGTTGGTCCTAAAAATTCTATCATGCTATCTCCGGCATAATTTATATCACCAAGGCCACATTTTCCAATTACCGATGATTCTTATTTCCAATTTTTGCATTCCAGTCACCAGTAGCAATCAACACATCTTGACTGCATGTTTGATCAATTTCAGACTGCAGAAGTTGGTAAAATCTTCAATTTCTTTGCCTTTGGTGGTTGGTGGGTAAATTTGAATAGTAGTAGTATTAACTGGTCTTCCTTATAGGCGTATGGATACTATCTTATCACTGATAGCACTGTACTTCAGGATCGATCTTGAAACATTCTTTTTGACAATAAATGTGATGCCATTCCTCTTCAATCTGTCATTCATGGCATAGTAGACCCTATGATTTTCTGACTCAGCCAAACCAGTCCATTTCACCTCCTTAATGCCTAGGATATCAATCTTTATGAGTTCCGTTTCATTTTTGACAACTTCCAATTTTCCCAGATTCATAGCTCTGCACATTACACACTGCAATTATTAATGGGTGTTTGCAGCTGTTTCTTCCCATTTTGAGTGGTGCCACATCAGCAAATGAAGATCCCAAAAGCTTTACTCCATCCACGTCATTCAGATTGACTCTACTTTGAGGAGGCAGTGGTTCCCCAGATATTTTGAGTGCCTTCCAAAGTGAAGGGTTCATCTTCTAGCACTATACTGAACAATGTTTCATGGTCATTCATAAAGTTTTCCAATAATATATCAGACAATGTTTCACTACTATTTGTTAAGATTTTCACTGATCAATTTTTTCAGAAGTGGAGGCCCCATCCTTCTTCCCAGTCTGTCTTAGTCTGGAAGCTCTGCTGAAACCTGTCCACCATGGGTTATCATGCTGGTATTTAAAATACCAGTGACATAGCCTACAGCCTGACTCACAGCAACACGCAAGCCACGACAGTATGACAAACTGACAGATGAGTGGTGGAATATTGTATTAGACCATTATAAAAAGTCAAGAAAATTTCATACACAGAATGAAACATTCTTGTTTTAACTGAAAATATTGAGCTCCTCCATTGCCTCTTTCCACAGATGTGGATGGGAGGGAAAATCACTAACTAGAGAGTAGACATGCATTAACTTGGGTAAAGGGAGAGGCAATATACAATAATGGGGAGGTCAGCACAATAGGACGAAGGCATAGGAAGACACTGGGATAAGTACAAGACTTAAATGTAACAAAGGTAAATACTACTACATACACAACCCTGCAATAATAGTACTAACAAACAACAATCTACAAGTGGATACTTAGGTAGACATGCAAACTGAACAGGTGTGAGAAGGTGAACAGGACTACACCCATGAGTATATATATATTAGGTTTGGAAGAGGTTATTTCTACATATATATTTGTATGTGCTGTAATTATAACAACATATAAAGTAGAGCATACAGAGCACAAAGTTATGAAAACTCTTTTGCCATAACCAAACACCTTGAAGGAATGAGTCACTGGGCTTAGGGACTTAAGATCAAAGTCTCAGGGGACATCTAGGTCAACTGGCATAATACAGTCCATAAAGACACTGTTCTACATTCTATTGTAGTAGGAGCAACTCAGGTCTAAAAAGCTTGCAAGCGGCTATCTAAGATATTTTATTATAATAGTAATTATTGGTCTCTCCCCATCTGGATCTAAAAAGAGTGAAGAAAATAAAAAACTCAAGGAAAAAATTAATCCAAAGGATTAACATACCATGTGAACCTCAGCCTCCACTACCCTGAGATCAGACGAAATAGATGGTACCTGGCTACTACCACCAACTGCTCTGACTGGGACCAAAATAGAAGGTTCCAGACAGTATAGGAGAAAAACAGAACAAAACTCAAAACTAGGCTTACTGGTCTAATAGAGACTACTGGAACTCCCAAGACTATGACCCTTAGATACCCTTCAAACCTGGAACTGAACCCAACCCTGGGGGGCCCCCTTTTACCAAAAAAAAAGGTTTAAAATGGGGGAAAATTTAAAAAAAAAAAAAAAAAAAAAAAGGCCTATGTGTTATGTGAGGAACTTACTCCTCAGAACCATCAACCATATGTGACCAAAAGGGCAGTATGTACCCAGTAACAGCCCAGAAGACAGGAAGGAACAGAAAAGAAGGGAAATGGAAAGGGGGATACCAGAGAGGAAGTGAGAAGACTGATGTTACATTGAAGAAATTGAACTAATGTCACAAAACAAAATGTGTATAAATTGTTGACTGGAAAACTAATTTGCTCTGTAAACTTTCATCCAAACCACAATTAAAAAATAAATTTATTTTTTAAAAAAATCACTAAAATATACTGACTTGTATAAATCTGATCAACAAAGATTATCAACAACTGGGAGAAAATAAGGCAAATTTAGATGCTTACCTGCGAAGCAGTTAGTGTCTCCAGTTTATGAAGTCTCTGAAGGACATTCTGCATGTCTTCCTGCAATCTCATGAGCACTAGAGCAATCTGCTCATTGAGGCTGCCTCTTGACCCTCTGTCTGAGCCCCACCGTTCTCCATCACCTCCACTTCCCACTTGCCGACCTTTGGCTCCTTCGCTCAAATGTGGCATCCTATGCCCTGTTTACACAAAACAAAGTAAATTAGTTTTAAGTAATTTTATGAAGGTAAAAACAGTTTTACTCATTTCCCTCTCCCTGTCATTTCTTTGAGATCTTGAAATCTCAATCTCCAAAGTAGAGTATAAGCAATCAAGGAATATACAAAATATTATCTTCTGGATAAAAGAAGTAAATAGAAACATCTATTTACATTGATATATTTAAATTTCTTTATTGATAAGGTTTTAAGTGTAGAAACTATACTAGTACCTGACTAAGGAGTCTGGTGGTGTAGTGGGTGAGGCATTTGGCTGCTCACCAGGTCAGCGATTCAAACTCACCAGTTGCTCTATGGAAGGAAGATGGGGCAATCTACTTCCCTAAAGATTTACAACCTCAGAAATCCAATGGAGGTCGCTATGAGTTGGAATTGACTCAACGGTAGTGAGTATGATTTGTTATTTTTTTTAATAGAAAAGAATTTAATATTGTTTCTTTGCAGTATTAAAGGCTGCTAAATAGCATGTTGCCCTTTTTGGTCATTTTCTGTTTTATTACAGTATAAGTTTTTATTATGTATGCTTTCTGTATGCTCTCAAACCACATCTGATTCTGTAACGTTCTTAAAACACGTATGTGTAAGTCACTATTACGTATGATTCTATAATGCTTTTATACTGTTACAATGTTTCTATAATCCTTTTAAACATATGTGTATACCAAACTCAACCTCACCAGCACTGAGTCTACTTCAACTCACAGTGACCCCCTTTGGGATTCCAAGGTGGTAAATCTTTATGGGAGAAGATTGCCCAGTCTTCCTTCTGTGGAGTGGCTGGTGGGTTGGAATTGCCAAACTACCAGGTAGTAGTCAAATGCCTGAGACACTATGCCACCAGAGCTCCTTACATCTATGTATAAGTAACTTACAACGTGAAGTTCTAAATACAGAATATTCTGAACTTAGAACTAAAAACGTAAGCATTTCTGTAATGTTGTTTAACAATTAACTCTAAGTCATTAGAAAGCTGTCCTAACTTTGAGAATAGATAATAGAAGTATGTGAAGTAGATCATAAAAAACTTTCTGCAGCTGGTCTTTGTACATGTACTCTGTGAAAATGAAATGTAACATTACTCATATTTCTATAAATTAACAAAACATAAATAATGTCACTAAATATTTCTCTTCATTTTTAATTAACTAGCTAGGTCTTGAAAATTTACAAACAAGAACATTACTACTTCATGCCCTGTTGTTGTTGTTATGTGCCGTCAAGTCAGACCCGACTCATAGCGACCCCTCCTTGGGTTTCCCAGGCAGTAATTCAAATCTTTATAAATTAGCAAAACATAAATATGTCATACAACAATGCTGTTAACTGGCAATAAAACATCCAATTACAGTTGAACATTATAGCACACTTGATATAAACCCATGGATTTTTGCTCAGTACTGAAGATGACAGAATGAAAGGTTTCTCTGACTCTTTCTAAAGCCTGAGAAGCCTGCTGAGACACTGTTTACCACAACTAACCATGGACCCTAGCTCAAGAGGACCTCCCCCACTCAAAGGGTGGTCAAGTCTCCTCCCCAAGACCACTCATTAAAGGTAAACGCCTGAAGCCCAAAGACTTAGACTGATATTTAAACTAACATTGTAATTGTAAATTCAGATTCTCCCATGCTACATGAATGTCTTGAAGTCTTATTTGTATGCCATGCCTTACTACCTTGCAATAATCTAAACAAGTTTATGCATGACAAACCTGGGCGTTGCTTTATTTATTCTTAAGATAAAACCCTCCAGACATAGGTAGACAGGCTAAGTGATCAGGTGTGTTGTTGTTGTTGTTGTTGTTATGTGCCATCCAGTCGGACCTGACTCACAGCAACCCCTCCATGGGTTTCGAGGTAGTATCACTACAGAAGTAGATTGCCCAACCTTCCTTCTGAGGAGTGGCTGGTGGGTTTGAACCGCCAGCCTTCTGGTTAGTAGTCAAATGCCTTAGGCACTATGCCACCAGAACACGAAAGTGATCAGGTATAGGTAGGTGTTCTGGTTACCTAGTGCTAGTCTGACAGGAACATACCACAAATGGGATGGCTTAACAAACAGGAGTTTATTCTCTTGCAGTTTGGAGGCTTTAAGTCCAAGTTCAAAGTGCCAGGCTCCAGGGGCTGGGTGAAAACCTCTCAACCTTGGGGTCCAGCTCTGCCTTCTGCTCCTGGCCCACTGGAGCTAGAGGCTTTTCTTCACTCAGACAGCTGCTGGCTGCTGAGGCTGAGAAGCCCAAGGTTGCAAGTAAAAAGGCACAGTCCCGATGTTACCAAACCACACACACAGCAGGCCATTAACTTAAGTCCATTGTTAAGTCCCAAGGTCGGCAGAGCACAGCAGGCTGCTGAGCAATGACACGGCTACATGCAGGGTCCAAGCGTGACGTAGGCTAGAGACCATTCCCAAGGCTTCTCCTTATATACAGGAAGCAGACCACATCCCAAAGGCAGCTACTCAGCTGCTTGTGGTAGTTCCCACGATGGAGTTGACTGCCAGTCTCATCCTGGGGAATAGCTACCACCAGCTGCCCAGCCACTTAACCAGGCTCAGCAAAGCTGACACACAAACATAACCATCACAGTAGGTAATAAATATATTGCCCATATATGTAAGTTTGGCAGATGGTATTTCTACCTACATATTTGTATAGGCTAAAAGGCTCGCAAAATAGGATTGGGAAAGAGCTGCAACATCTGAGTAAACCCAGCCTTACTCATGGAAAAGAGAAAGCTTTTGAGACCTTCATTTGCTGATGTGGCACCACTCAAATTGAAGAGAAACAGCCACAG